TAAAACGCTTAAAGATATTTACTTAATAAAATTTGTAATTACCTGTGTGATAGTTCTCTAACAGAAACATGTGATTTCAATTCTTCCTACTTCATGGCAGTTTTTCTCATTTCTTTTTTAGGTTTAAAAGCATCAACTGGAATCAATTTGCATTTGAAAATTAGATGAACACAAAGACTTGATATTGTGGAATGACTAGCAAACAAGCAATGTCATCTAACGAACAAGAAAGGCCTTTGTGTTATAATGGGGAAGTCCTTGTTTTCAAGTTGTCTAAAGGAAATTTTTCAGATAAAGAGCCTGCAAAAATGCCCATGTTACATGTCAGAAGAATGGTATTTGACAGAGAAACAAGATCATTTGTTCAGAAGTCCACTGGATCCTTCAGCATAAAGGGAGAAAACTCTCATTTTAAAATTGTGTGTTGCAACTGCGTGTCAGATTTCAGAACTGGAATTAACCTCCCTTACGTGTTGATACAAGGCAACAAAATAAATAATGATTTCAGATATTTACTACTATTTCTTCACAGTACCAATAAATTTGAAAAGCGTTTGAGTTTTAGAATAGGCCACAAGTTGAAGGATGGCTTAAGGGTCCTTAATGGCCCTTCAGTTTTATGGAGACATGCCAACACATTCTTCTGTATGTCTTCCAAAACTGGCAAAGTTATTACTCTGTCAGTTAACTTTTCCTCTATTGAGTGGGTAGGGGAGATTGAAAATGTAGGTATGGTTTTATTGGGACTAAAGGAATGTTATTTATCTAAGGGACGATACACCCGGAAACCTTCAAAATCAGATTATGCAATTTGGGATACCGAATTTGGTTTATACTCTCTTGAAAGTCAAGAATTATTAAGTGATGCATACATTATCCCTCCTGTTTATAGCAGTTTGGTAACTTGTGTGCATGTCTGTGCAACTGAGATCGTCAACAGCCAGTTAAGAATATCTCTGATTGCCCTTACTCGAAAGAATCAGCTGATTTCATTCCAAAATGGGACTCCTAAAAGTGTGTGCCAGCTTCCATTTGGAGATCCTTGTGCAGTTCAACTTATGGATTCAGGTGGAGGAAACCTCTTTTTCATTGTATCCTTTAGGTCCAATGATGCTTGTGCTGTTTGGAAAAAGAATTTTCAGGTATGATGCCTATTTTTATAATAATTCAATTGATGGTTTTAGACCTTTTAAATATTCCTACAGTTCATAGAGTTCATCCTGGAATTTTATTATCTAAGTCAATTTTTAGTGCTATACTTAAAATCATATGTATTACATTGTTCTTTTTTCTTAAACTTATCTGAATACTACTTGATAATGGTTTTTTTGCCTTGCCATTTTGAGTCAGAAAGGCATTGAGTTGTTTGGAAATATAT